ACGGTTTAAGTGATAAGCACAGCAAAGAGGAATGTGCTAGTCTTCCAAGCAAATCATTTAATATTGAGGAATGTTGTCACAATTCTTCCTCTACTGTTTCACTGGAAGATACTGGGTCATTAAGTCGGCAAGAATCCTCCCAGCCTCATTTACATGAAGTGATAACAGGCCAAGCTCTAGTTTGTCCTGTTTGTAACCTAAAACAAAAGACTTCAGATCTTACCCTGTTCAATGTGCATGTGGATGTATGCTTAAATAAAGGCATTATCCAGGAACTGAGAAAGGATAAAGTTAATCTAGCTAACCAACCCAGAGAAAGCACCAAAAGTACTGGTGAGTTTGCAGTCATTTTAAAGAACTCGATTTTCTAGGAATGTTTTATTAAAATTAAGATTGTTGTTAAATCTAAAGCACATACTATTAAAGGGATAGTTTGTGTATCCTGCCATTTAGGGAAATGTTAGTTACCTTAGCATAGGTTAGAATTAACTGAAGCCATTAGATTTTAAATTTTGGCAAAACTGTTCTGGGCTTGATTTAGCACAGAACGAACTCGAAAGCTTGGGAGCTGAGTAATCTAATCAAAGTCAGAATTCCCATGAAATGATAAGACAGGGATAAAAGGTACAGCTTAGGGAATATAGTCAATGGTATTGTAATAGTGCTGTATGGTGACAGATGGGAGCTCCATTTGTGGTGAGCACAGCATAGAGTATAAATTTGTTCTATTACTATGTTGTGTATAAACTTGTTCTATTACTACGTTGTGTATAAACTTGTTCTATTACTATGTTGTGCACTTGAAACTAATATAACATTGTGTGTCAACTATACTTCAATTTAAAAAAAAGAGAAAGAAAGAAATTCCTTTTGCTAAGGCACAGTGGTAAATTAACATAATCACACAGCCAGAAAGCCTCTTTAAGTTGTTTTTTGGTAGTCTGACTCTAGCCCAACTTCAAAAATAAAATTAAGTCTTAGTAATACCATAAAATAAGTAAATTACAAAGAAGTTATGCAATAAAGTTAGTTTTTGATGTGTCTAAATATGAACTATGTAGTACTAAAGAAGTTTTTATTATCTCTAATCAGTCAGCTTTAACTTTTTAGATTTTTATAGAGCTTTTTAATTATTTCATGTTCATTATGGCATTTCTTGACTTTTCTTCCACCAAAGATAACTCAGGCCGAGTTCAGAAGACTGCAACAAAACCAAAAAGGTATGGCTAATTTGAGTTTTAACAGAGCTGGCTATAAAATTGGTATATTTTGAGGTTTAATTTTTAGGTGTTGTTAAAATTTGCTCTTATAAATCAAGTAAAATTTAAAAAATCAATGATTCGTAAAACATTTTTCAAATATCTTCCTGCATTTTAACTGTGTGTTCTTTTCTATTCCAGGCCAGGATTGATGACAAAGTACTCAGCATCAAAGAAAACAAAACCAAATAATCCCAGACACACTCTTGATGTATTTTTTAAATGAACATTGAACATTTTATCATTGAACATTTTATTCTTAATAGAGAAACTTTTTATTTTATAATCAATGAATCTTTTCTTCTTCATTAAGTTTATAGATTGATGTAGTGAAAGGCAAGTGCAATAATTCTTCCCCAAATGACATTTCTTTTATATGAATTTGGAATATGTTCTAATTAACTTTTGTAAACACCTTTTGGATAGCCATGAGAATTGCACTTCTATTATACATCAATCAGACAGTCAGTCCTGTTAGAGATAATTTTAAAATGAGAAATTAGGAATGGAATCAGAAAGTGATTTGTTTCCTTATCATGTTTTATAGTGAATGTAAAAGCATATTTATAAGGGCTCGCAGAGGTGCACACAAACCTAGGTTAGCATAAGAATTTTCAGTACTGGGGCACCTGTGTGGCCTAGTCAATTAAGGTTAAGCATCTGACTCATGATTTCCACTCAGGTTATGATCTCAGGTCCTGAGATCAAGCCCTGAGTGGGGCTCCACACTCAGTGGGGAGTCTGCTTAAGAATTCTCTCATTCTCTCTTTGCCCCTCCTCCTGCTCATGTTCTCTCTTTCTAAAATAAGTAAATCTTAAAAAAAAATTTTTTTTTCAGCACTTAACCACTTTGTGGGTACTGGACTGCTATATTTATTTTAGTAACTTCTACAACTTTGTATATTCATATTTTAGATCCTACTGTCTTCAGATACCTCATGAGCATTCATAATTAAAATTTATTGGGGCGGGTGGTAGGGAGGTTTCAGGTGTTTACATGGTGGATGCTGCAAAGCTGGGGCAGACGGAGGAGGTCCCGGAAAACCAGAGAGTTCAGCCGGCGACAGATTGGGGAGGAGCCCTCCTGGGGTGCACCTTGACCCCCAGTGGCCTGGCCCTGGTGAGCCCCTACCACACCCACTGGGCCAGGGACCCCTTAGACCTTGTGGCACTTGCAGAGCAGGTGCAGAAGGCTGATGAATTAACCTGAGCAAATGCCACCAACAAACTGACAGTCATAGATGAGCAAATCCAACATTTACTAGAATAAGCCAGGAAGGTTTTGGAAGATGCTTACAAAGATGCTGACTTGCACCACATAGCTTGTAACATGGTAAAAACAAAAAGCAAAAAACCTGGCAACATTTACTACCCTTATAAAGGGGAGAGTGGTCAGCAGTATTTTTCTATTATTTCTCCAAAAGAATGGGGGACAGGTTGTCCACATGACTTCCTTGGTACTTACAAGCTACAGCATGACTTGTCCTGGACTCTGTATGAGGATATCAAGAAGCACGATGCTAAAATCAACGTAGTGGACAAGTTGCTAAGCCAGCCAGCGGCCCTGCCTCTAAACATTGAACCCACCTTCCAGGGATGGACTCACTGAGAGTGGACTCCGATAAATAGTTCTCACGGCAAGGACCGGTCATCTCCTTGTTGCCCTCATTCTCTGCCTTGATGGGAGGTGTCATGAGAATTGAGGTATTGTGGGTGTATCATGAACTTCTTGAAAAGAGACCCTGTGTGGGGCACCTGGATGGCTCAGTCAGTTAAGCAGTTAAGTGTCTGCCTTTGGCTCAGGTTATGATTCTGGGGTCCTGGGATCAAGCCCTAAGTGGTAGTGAGGCCCCCTGCTCAGCCAGGAGTCTGCTTCTCCCTCCGCCCCTCCCCCCACTCATGGGCTCTTGAGAGCTCTCTCTCTCTCTTACCTCTCCTCTCTCTCTCTCAAATAAATAAAATCTTTAAAAAAATTATAAGTTCTATGAAGAATATGAGCTTGGCAGAACAGGGATGGAAGTTTTGTTACCTTCAGGAAAATAGTATCACAGTATTATTTTCTGTATTGAAAGAATTATTTAAAATAGGATTATCCATTTGATTTTTTTTTTTTACTTAGAATTCCTTTATCTTATGAATAAGCACATGGTTCACTTTACAAAATATTTAGTCTAAAATTCAAGGTAATTAAATTTCTTTGTAGGACTTTAAAATGGTGGTATTTCATTTCTTGAGAGTTATGTTTATACTTTACACAGATCTATAAAAAAGGATAAATTGTACTCTTTATTTTTATTATAACCCTTCAGAGAAAAGTGTGCAATACAAAAGATTAGTGTGTATTAATATCTCATTTATCTTAACTATATTTCTATCACATTTTATTAATATTCGTGAAAGAAGATAGCTTAATACTAATTAGCTTAAGTAATTAATCCAAATACTTTTGTGCTATTAATACAATATTTTTCCAAAAAACAATTATTTAACGGAAACATGAAGATGGGACCATTTTTCTGTTATTTTTTAAGGAACTGAAATTTTTGTTTCTTATATTTTTGTTTTTTCTTTTCATATTTTATAACTCATTATCTAAATTTATGAAGACATAATATTTTAGAAATAGGTTAAAATAGGATCTTACACAGGCTTTGGCCAAAGTGGTAACTTGACTTGAAATAGATTGTTTAAAGTTAGATTTAGGGGCGCCTGGGTGGCTCAGTCGTTAAGCGTCTGCCTTCAGCTCAGGTCATGATCCCAGGGTCCTGGGATCGAGCCCCGCATTGGGCTCCTTGCCCAGCGGGAAGGGAAGCCTGCTTCTCCCTCTCCCACTCCCCCTACTTGTATTCCCTCTCTCGCTGTCTCTCTCTCTGTCAAATAAATAAATAAAATCTTTAAAAAAAAATAAAGTTAGATTTAATATTTATTAGCATGCCAGTTTTAGGCCTTATATTATCATGTGCTATAGCAAATTCAGAATTGTAGAGCTGTGGGTCTTGATTGTGTGATTTACATATCTAAATTCTTTACAAAATTAAGTTCAGTGAAGTGCTGATTTCATGTATTGAAAAGTTAATAGCATCATATTTAATTGTTCCTATCTTGCCTCAGATTTATTTTTATTGTGTTATTTTCATTTCAATGATTCATTTAATTGAATGTTATCATTTAGTAATATTTAATAATAATTTAAAATAAAATTGCAAGTGTTGAATTGATCTTTTAGCCAATAAAAATGGTTTCCTTACTTTTCTACTCTTTTCCCACCTCTGATTCTTTCTCTTTTATTCTCTTTCCCCAGAATTCTCTCCACATTCTTTTCTATCTGTTTTATCTAATGTACCCAACTCATCTACTTTTTATTATGATTTTGCTTTGGGGTATTTTTAGGAAATAAAGCAAAACTGCAAAGGACAAGCACCTATGATCTTACCTACTTAGAGCATCAAAATACAGGGAACCACCTGGGAGAACATATTTGTGACACATGGAAGTGGCCAAAAACTAGATCCAGAATATGTAATCCAGAAGATATAAATGACTCCTATGTATTAGTAAGAAAAAGACAAATAGCTAGTAGAAATTTGACCAGATGACTTTAAATGTCACTTTACATAAAAGGAAATCCAAATGACCAGCAAACATGCACACATTCTCAGCCATTTTAGTAATAGGGAAATGAAAAAACCACAAAGAGGTATCATTACATCCCTACCAGATTAACAAAAATGAAAAGATCCAATGTTATTAAATTTTGGTGATGATGTGGAGCAATGTGAACTCTTCTTTGAAGACAATCACTTTGGAAAACAGTTTGCTTTTCTTCGGTAAATTTGAAGATGTGTACATTTAGCAACCCAGCAATTGCACTCCTAAATAAACACCTTTGCTGGTTATCTTCCATTTGCTCTCCAGATTTACTCTTGACCCTTGACCCTGCTTTATGTCCAGTAAGGGGCTATGGCAATGGGGGAACCACTACAGATTTCAGGGAGAAAAGATGAAGTTGGGTATTTATTCCCACATGTACCTTATTATATGATCATCTAGAGCTGGTTAGGTCCCTTGACCAAAGGTCACAAGTTTTTTATACTGTGTCCTCTCCTGTCTCTTCAGTTGTTTTTTTTTTTAAGCTTTATTTATTTAATCTCTGTACCCAATGTCGGGCTCCAACTCATGACCCTAAGATCAGGAGTCACACACTCTTCCAACTGAGCCAGCCAGGTGCCCCTCTCTTCAGGTTCTGATGATCCTTTCCTTCCCTCACCCCTTCAGCCTCGGGGTGGCAACAGAGCCTTGCTGTTATTAGTTTTGGGGTGCTGCAGCATCTTTTGTGTTTCCCCACACCTTTGTAAATGGTCCTTTTTTAAAACTCATCTCAAAATATTTTTTTTCCTTCCAAAGCCCTGATATAATGTCTTGGGAAAACTACTGAACATGTTCCTTAAGAAGTATGTACAACAATGCTCTTAGCAGCACTGTAATAGCAAAAAAGGGGAAAATAAATATTAATTTAATTCTACCATTGTATATTCATGTATATTCAAGCAAGAGAATTCTACACAGTGGTGGGGCGCCTGGGTGGCTCAGTTGGTTAAGCGACTGCCTTCGGCTCAGGTCATGGTCCTGGAGTTCTGGGATCGGGTCCCGCGTCGGGCTCCCTGCTCAGTGGGGAGTCTGCTTTTCCCTCTGACCCTCCCTCCTCTCATGTGCTCTCTCTCTCTCTCTCTCTCTCTCAAATAAATAAATAAAATATTTTAAAAAAAAAGAATTCTACACAGTGGTAAAAAGGTAGGAAATAGTTAATCAGAAAGTAGTGGGAAACTCGACTGCATAATTTGTGGTAGTGGGGGACTGCATTTGCGCTTTCCCCTGGGGAAAAAAAAGAGAAAGTAGAGGAATATCTACTAGTTAGTTCAGTGGGTTAAGCGTCTGGCTTCAGCTCAGGTCATGATCTCAGGGTCCTGGGATGGAGCCCCACATCTTGCTCCCTGCTCAGCATCTTGCTCCCTGCTCAGTGGGGAGTCTGCTTGTCCTCCCCACCCCCCATGCACTCTCCCGCACGCGCACTCTCTCTCAAATAAAATCTTTAAAAAAAAGGAAAGTAGACGAATATCACGAACAATCTGGAGTAAAGTAAGTCATAGATAGCAAGTCGGCATGCCATCAGCATGAATACATTTATATAAAGTTCAAAACAGTTAAAACTATTGTTTTAAGGATTTATCCGTATGAAATAAGATTATTAAGAAAAGCAAATATGTTATCGTCCTGAAAGAATAATGATTTCCTCCGTGGGGAGATAGGGAAATGTGATTGGGGAATGTACATAGAGCTGCTGGGATGCTGACAGTGTTCTGTTTCTTGGGTGGTTGACTGCATAAAGGTTTACCATAAAACTATTCTTTAAACTGTACATATATATTTTATATACTCTTGTACATATGTGACCAAAATCATAATAAAAAGCCAGTAGACAAAATTCCTGAAAATTTAACAATCTGCTCTTGCAAGCCAATACAAGCCAGCGCCCACATATCATGATTGGCATTCAAGGCCAATCAAGTCACACTGCATAGCTTATAGTTTCCTGAATAGACCAAGCTATTTCTTCCTTCTGGTATGGTGCTTGGTTGCTCCCCTGTCCAGAATGTGCTTCCTGGACATACACTCTCTTTTCCCACCATACACAACTATTCATCTTTCAACTCAGCCCAGGGGCCACCTTCAGGAGAGGGTCCCTGCCCTCTGGAAAAACTGATCAGTCACTCCTTTGTGCTCCTATTTCTCTATGAGGACAATGAAACATTGCATTATAAAGGTTTTATTACTATGGCCTTTTGGGGTGGCTTGGAAGTATTTGGAAGAAGGCTCCAAAACATACTATTTCACCTAAGGCTAAAAAAATGCTTTTTGAGGAAATATTCCATTTTGAAAACTGTACTTGGTGCCTAATGCTGATTTTCTTTTAAGTAATATTCCATTTTGGAAAAGTAGTGCCAAATTTGAACATACCTGGTGCTGGTAAGATTTTAGTGAACTTCACAGAACAATGGTGTTTATTTCCCAGAGCAAAAACTGTCCTTTTGTTGTATAATTAAGGGATAATCACTTTTGCTTTGTAATACAAAGCAAAACAGTTGGATTAACAGTTGTTCAAGAAAAAAAATGTTATTATGGTAAGTATTGGAAACATAATTCTATTTATTAAGCAAACCATAATATTGAACTGTTCTCCTTACAAATGTGAGGTAATTTATGACAGTCTTTTCTTCTTTTCTGTTAATAACAGTCTTATTTCCTCAATATTGCTCAGAGAGACAGAAGTAAATTCAGAGGCAAATAGTGTTAACTCTTTACTTCTAACGCCAGTTTCTTAAGTTTATTATGATTTCAAACTCAGAATACATTCATATACATAGAAATACATACATTACATGTGTGTGTGTACACACACAACCTATGCCAAACCCTTGTCTATTATTGAATTCTGTCTACCCTTGTAGGACCTCTTGAAAATGCCCACTTCTGGGCGCCCGGGGGGCTCAGATGGTTAAGCGTCTGCCTTCGGCTCAGGTCATGATCCCAGTGTCCTGGGATCAAGTCCCGCATCAGGCTCCCTGCTCAGCGGGGCACCTGCTTCTCCCTCTGCCTCTCTCTCTCTGTCTCTTATGAATAAATAAAATCTTAAAAAAAAAAAGAAAATGCCCACTTCTTTTCATTCCTTTTGTCAAGTCCTCATCAGTTGCCTAATCTCATCCAACACATTTCTCAGCTTTCATTAGTTTCTCTTTAAACCATCTTGTGCATTTTTATAGACAATGCTCTCCTAATATTCTTAGGCGTGTGTGTGTGTGTGTGTGTGTATAAAAGGGTGAGTCAGTTCTGGGGTCAAATCTAGTTCCGTTTTATGAGGACTTAATTTTTTTTTCCACTCCTAGAATGTGCTAAACTTCTTCTTTGACCTCTGAAACCATCCACAGGTGTGAGATGTGCCATGGTTTTACTTTGTTTTATAATGCATCAAACCCCCTGTGCTTGAGTGCGGTGGATTCAGGGCAGAGATCCTGGTTGTCCTTCAGTATTCTACTCTTCCTTAATATTGTTAGAATTTTAGCTAGGCACATAGTTGCCTAGAATCCTGCATTTAACCAATTTTTTATTTCATAAACCACTAAGAAGAAAATACTACCTAAGATGGGTAGTCCAATAGGTTATGACTGGGTTAAAATGGGATACCAAGGGGGACCCTGGGTGTCTCAGTCTGTTAAGCATCTGACTTTTGGTTTTGGTTGCGGTCATGATCTCAGGGTCCTGAGATCGATTCCCACTTGGGTCTCACGCTTACTGGGGAGCCTGCTTAAGATTGTCTCCCTCTTCCTCACCCCTCCCGCACTCATGCTCTCTCTCTCTGTCTCTTGAAACAAATCTTAAAAAAATAAAATGGGATACCAAAGTTTACACCTTCAGAGAAGAAATGAGGGTCTTACTTTATTCAAAAGAAAATTCTGGAAGCCCATTTAGAAATGATTTAATATTGAAGTTCTTATAGTGGTGGTTATAAATCCAGCCTGGACATTTCTCAAAGTTGTACGAAGAACTAAAGTGTGAGCGGGGCGTTCTCTCAGAGCGCTCTCCTTCAGGTAAAACCAAATCCGAGGACCAAGCAGGCCGCACCCGCAGGTGGTCCCTCCCAGGCTGCCGAGCCGCCCGGGCAGGAGCACTGAGGCACGCTACCCGGACACCGCAGGGAAAAGAGAGCGGCCCAGCAGTGCCTGCCGGCTCTCCGCGGGCGGCGAACGAGGGCGCACGTGGACCCTGCCCCGACCATCCCGGGTCACCGGGGTGCCGCGAGGGAGCCGCTGCAAGGGGCGGCCGCGGCCGTGAAGGGCCTTGGGACAGACCTGAGGGGTGCGGCGGCCCGGCCCTGGATCCCGAAGCCAGAGGGGCCTCGAGAGGCGGCGGCGGCGGCGGCACACGAGATCCGTGAGTTCCAGGAGGCGGGCTGTAGACCGCGCGGTGGCGGCGCCGGTGGGCGGATGGGGGCGGGGGCGGAGGGAGTCCGGGCCGGGCGGTGGGGGCTCGTGTGCAAGGTGCCGCCCGACCGCCTCAGGACCCCGCGGGATCTGGGCGCCCACCCCCCGCCACCGCATCACCTGTGGGTTGGTTTGCCACTTGGCAACCCCCCTCCCCAAGTTTTGATTCCGGCTGTTTTATTTCAGGTGAAACCTATATACTGTGGTTGGAAGGAAAGAGCTATTCTTTCACTTTAGGGAAGAGGGTTTTTGAAGAAATGATTAAGCCCTATTGCAAATAAGGAAGAGAGTTTCATGCGGTGTTATCTCCTATATCCTGACTCACGCGGTGACTTACTGTGTGACTTTAAATCACTTAATCTTTCTGTGCTTAGGTTTCTAAAGCATGGGGTGAGTCTTCTGTGCCTCTTTGAGAATAAACTTATAGCATAAACTGAGGCACATTGTTGAGTCTTCAAAAGTTGAGAATGATTTCAAGGCTGTTAACAGAGCACTAGTCCCTTAATAATGTTCAATTAGTTCATCCATCCATCGGTTCGTTCATCTAGAAATATTCTCAAGAGTTGACGATTTACTAGACATATTTTAGATGCGACTTAGGCGGTGGGAGCGTGACAGTCCACGTTCTGGTTTGGGTGGAGGGTTGAAAGACGCTAAAATAAGTGAGCGAATAAGTGAGGAACGTCTTTCAAGGCAGTGATAATTGCTGCGGAGGCCACATAGCCTAACCCTAGCTTATGAAGTTTTTCTCCTGTGTTTTCTTCTAAAAGGTTATAGGTTTATGTTTTACATTTACATTTATGATCTATTTTGAATTAATTTTTATATAAGGTATGAGGTTTACATCAAGGTTCGAATTTTTTCATTTGGACATCTGTTTCAACCAAATTTTGGTTTCCATTTGTTGATGCCAGTATATAGAAATATGATTGATTTTTATGTGTTGACTTCGTATCCCACAACTTTGCTAACCTCATTTATTAGTTCTCGAGCTGCTTTGTACATTCCTTTGGATTTTATACGGAGATAATCAAATTGTTTGCAACTAGACAGAGACAGTTTGATTTCTTGCCAATCTGTATGCCGTTTAATTTACTTTTACTGCTATACTGTACTGGCTAACACTTCCACACAATGTTTTAAAGAGCGAGAGTGGACATTTCTGTTTCTTCCTGAGCAAAAAAAGCTTTGAAACTTTCTTGATTAAGTATGATGTTGGCTGTCAATTTTTTGTACATGTTCTTTATCAGGTTGAGGAAGTTCCCTTCTATTGCCATGTTGCTGAGAGCGTTTTTGGTTTTGTTTTTACTCATAGATGGATGTTGAATTTTTTAAAATGCTAAAATGTTATCAATAGATCATATAGTTTTTCTTCTTTAGACTATTTGTATGATAGATTACATTGCTTGGTTTTCAAATAATGAACTAGTCTTGTATTCTCAGGATAAACCTCACTTGGTGTGTTATATTTTTTATGTATCACTGGATTTGATTTGATAATGCTTATTCAAGGAATTTTGAATCTATGTTGATGAGGGATATTTGTTTATAGTTTTATATTATTACAATGTTTTTGGTTTTAGAATGAAGGAAATGCTGATCTCATAAGATGAGTTGGGAAGTTTTTCCTCTTGTGGTTTATGAGAGAGATGGTATAGATTTGGTGTTATTCTTTAAATGTTGGGTAGAATTCACTAGTGAAAGTATCTGGGCATGAGGATTTCTTTCTTTCTTTTTAATGCACATCTGAATGCTTTTTAAGGGCATGAAGATTTCTTTTTAGAATATTTTAAATTACAAATACCATTCCTTTAATAGTTATAGTATTATTAGGTTATCTATGTAATCTTGAATAAATTTGAATAGTTTGTGGTTTTCAAGAAATTATTTCATTTCATCAAAGTTGTTGAATTTATGTTCATGGAGTTGTTCATAATATGCCTTCATTATCCTTGTATTGTCTGTTGGGACTGTAGTGCTATGTCCTCTGTCATTCCTTATATTGGTAATTTGTGTCTTCTTTCTCTCTCTCTCTTTTTTTTGTCAGTTTTGCTAGAAGTTTACTGATTTTATTGGTATGTTCAAAGAACCAGCTTTTGTTTTCATTGATTTTTTTTCTGTTGTTTATCTCTTTTCAATTTCACTGATTACTGCTTTTACTTTTGGTATCTTTCTTCTGTCTGCTTGATTTAGGTTTATTTTCCTTTTTGGTTTTTCCTTTCTTTTTTTAAGATTTATTTATTTTAGAGAGAGAACGCATGTATGTGGGCAGGGGGTAGGGGCAGAGAGAGAGGAGAGAGAATCTCAAGCAGACTCCCCCCTGAGTGCAGAGCCCAGCATAGGGTTCCATCCTAGTAACCTGACATCATGACCTGAGCCAAAATCAAGAGTCAGCCATTTAACCGACTGAGACACCCAGGTGCCCCAGGTTTTTACTTTCTTAGGGTAGGAGCTTAGATTACTGATTTGAGACTTTCTTTTCTAATAATTTAATGCTATGAATTCCTCTCTTAGCTTTGCTTTAGCTGCATCCCACACATTTTGATATATTTTATTTTCATTCAGTTCAAAGTATTTTCTAATTTCTCTGGGTTTTCCTCTTTGATACGTGGTTCATGTGTGTGTGTGTGTGTGTGTGTGTGTGTGTGTGTGT